TAGAGAGTGACTGATAGATTGACATAAACTTGCGTCTCAGAATAGAAATATTCACATGAAATGCTCTCCATTATGCGGACACTGTCTATCAGCAAGAATGTGTATTGAAAATAAATGAGTTGTACCCTTCGATTGTCACAGACATGGAAAATAAATAGACACCTGGCAACGAAAGCATAGCAGGCACAAGCTAAGTTATTGCGTTACCTCTGAAACGAGATGGACGTGTGGGGAAGCACATGCTACAATTTCTATTTATCAAATGACATGACAGAAAAACCTTAATGTAGTGGGTTTACATGGCAAAGTTTTGGTAGCAGGAGGCCATACTGGTGGCTTCTCTGGGAAGAATCTAGAAGCTGACCCATGTTAGGTTAGGGCCCTGCTGCTGACTAGAGTTGAACCAATAAGTGATGTTGTTTGCACCTCTGTGAGAGAAAGGAGAAAACAAACAAACAAACAAAAAAAAAAAGAAAACACAACCAACCAATCAAACAAACAAACATGGCAGCTGGGAGAGAGAGAGGAGTGAGAAACAGTATTTTCTCCCCCTGTTTCTTTGAGGAGGGGGAGTGAGAGAGTGGGTGTGGTGGAGCTCAGCTACCCACCTGAGTAAAACCACCACACTTGCTCACATACCAAAATGCGCAGTCACTGCTGTATCTTGAATCATTCAGGCAGGGCTTGGCTGCTGGGGCTGATTTTCTCAGCAAGTTGGGACTGAGATATCCTATTCCCCATGCTCCTCATATTCCAGATATCTGCAACCCCACCACGCCATCTGTCATTCTCCCTTTTCCCCATGGGGTGAAACAGTTTTCATAGATTTTTCTCCCCTGTTACTCCATGTGTTTGCTGTGCCACCCACAGAAATTCTCCTGCAAGGTCCCCTTGCCACTGCTCAGTTCATCCCATATTGGATTGGCAAAGGACCACAAGCCATGACTGCAGACCCAGGAAGGAGGCTTTTTGTGTGTGTCTAGGGCTGACGAACCACAGCTTTATCACTCTCAGCAGCAGTAGGTTGGGAAGACTTTAATGTCATGTTGAGCAGCATGAGCACAGCTCCTCCAGAAAGATGCCATCTGTGAGGTCATTTTCAATGGAGACCTCCTGGAAGGAGCAATGCACAAAAAAAAAAAAAAAAAAAAAAAAGAGGGAATTTCCTCAGCTGCTGCTGTTGTTATCAGGTTTTCCTCCTCCAAATACTTCCTCCTCCAAATACAATAAAGGAATAGGTTTGCTGAAGCTCGTTCTGCCAATTTCTTGTTCTTTATTACCTTGTCTACAGCATTATCTTATCTGTTGCTCAGTACATTGCCATGCCAGTTCAGGAATCAACACATGTTCTGCTAAGTCCTTGCTGTTCCCTTTGGATGTATCTCTGCAGAAAAGCTTAAAGGACTCATGCCTCTGAGCAGGCCATAATATGGGGACCTGTTGTCTGAAAAGCATTAGACATCATCTGGGGAGAAGGAACATTGAGTGCAAGGAGAGCACAGCTCAAATCCTTTTAAAAAATGCAATGGAGAATTGGAACACGGAAGTGGAGGAGGGAAAGTAAATTCAAGTTTTCAGTGTGCCAGGGCACTGCCATGTTTTCATGGGCATCTGCTTTCCTATGCAGCATTGCATACAACACACATAGATACATACTCTGAGTGGGACAGGTGACCAGCTGGCACTACTGCACTAACTTCCTCAGGAGCATCTTATTGCAGAGTTTTCTGCTTTGATGCAGCTTCCTACTGCAAAACTCCTACTTCTTCTGCTCCCAGGTGCATGAATTTGGGGAGTATGGAAAGAGATAGCTGAAGTTCTTCATCAGGATGACGTATTACAAAACTGCTCTGGGATTTACACTCTCTGCTTCCTGAGAGGAAAGAAATCAGCCTTCAGTGATGATGCTTCCCTCTTTCCAACTGGCCATGCAGCAGAATGGATAAGCTGCCACACAGTCCGTACACAAAGTTGCAACAGGTTGTTGATGATTAAACACAAAATTCCTCCAGAACTGGAGGTTCTGATTCAGCACAGAGGCAGTTCAAAGACCTTAACAGCATACTCCCTCTAGAAAGATCTATTAAGCATTTAAGCAGGCTTTTTTTGCTGTCTTTTGTCTCTTAGAAGTACAGTCTAGAAGGAAAACAAGGCTGTTGAGTCCCTTTTGAGCACAGCTCCCTGGATTTCCCTAACCTAAGGGAGTGCCTCAAGTCAGTGAGACTGGAAAACCTAATTGTGCTTTCAGCATTTCCTTTAACATATTTCTCTGTGTTAGAAAGGTGTAGAAGACAATGTCTTCTGTATCATCTAGGAGTTGCTTTGCATAACGGACTAAAGTGTTTCACTGCCCTGTTTCTGAATCTCTGCAGTGCTTTGACAAGGACAAGAGCTGTCGGCCCATATGTTTCTAGCTGGCCCTAGCCTGATTTAGGAGAACAGGGATTTATTTAGCAGCCAGGGAGAGTTTAACCTTTCTGGAAAAACATTGTTTCAGAAGCAGCTACCTCAAAAACTATGTGGCCATGGAGATTACAGTTCTTGTTTCCTAGGGAAGATATCTTTCCTAGCAAGAGCTCCTGTCTCATCTGAGAATGAGACCTACCACCCTACCTCTGCTCAGATCTGCCCAAGAAGCAGAAGAAAAGGAGCAGTTTGCCTGTATATCCAGTCCAAAATGGGTATGGCATCAGGGTTATGCACAGGCAACAACTGAGACATCAGACAAAACATTCCTGCTCAGACATTGAAAGAGAGCACAGTCCAGGTAATGGCAGTGACCCTGGAGCATGAATCAGTTGGACTCATTTGCTGGGGGATCCGAAAGCATCAGGGACACAAAATACTCTCTTTTCCTAAAAACAGACCAAAATCCTACTGGCAAACATTACAAAACCTGTTACAGCCCCTGCCTATCTGCAGGACATGGAGCAGAAAAAACAGCATCGCTCCCAGAGAAACAGTGGGCTGAGATCTGTCGGCATTGCTGACTCCAGGGTCACCAAGCCCCCAGCCAGGGCATGCCAGGGAGAATCAGTGAGAAGGAGCCAGCCAGCTTGGGCTAAGAGCAAAGTACAACTTAGCCTCATCCCATCCCTCATGCCTGCAGCTCTGCTGAGGCAGGATTCAAGACACCAGTTTGGGGGGAGCAGCCCCTTCTGCAGCCCCTCTCTCAACCATCAGTGCATGGGTGGGATCCCGTCTTCCAAGCAACCTACTTTTTCTTCCTATTTCACGCTGACAATGCCTGCCAGATGAGATGCCCATGCCAGCCTGCACTGCTTTCAGGGTGTCACCCAGAAGCCATAAGCTGAGCAGCGTCTGCTGCTTTCAGGATCCTCAGGCTACCCAGCACTTTCCACCTCCCTGCCAGCCTGAGAGCAGGCTGGCATAAGAGCAGAACCTGATTTCTTTTCTTCTTTATTTTATTTTTTTCCCTTTTTCTAAAACAACACCAAGAAGGGACCTGGTTGCTGGCCACACTGCAGCAAACTAGGATTTATGAGCCACAGCCACAATGAACAAGCAGAAAAATTCCCCTTCCAGTTAGATCAGAAGCCACAATTTCAGCAAGGGTACAAACACCCAAGGAAATACAGTTGGCTTATGGATGTTGCTCAGACCATCCTCAAATGCCTTCCAGTCTCTCTGGCCTCTTTCCAGCCCTCTCTACTTTCTTCAGCAGGCTAAAATTCACTGATCATAGCAAGAGACCTCGCAAGCCCCCTTAGTTGCTCAGCAGGACCCATCTGATGCCCCAGCTTGACACCAAGCACCCTGGGAGCTGTGTGTCTCCTGAAAGATGGATGGTGGACCTGCTGCAGACCCCTTTCTTGCCCCCACATCACCCCATGCCATGCTTGGAAGAAGCAGAGGAAGGACTCCAGCAAATAAACTTCAACTCAACAGTCTGCCTCATTCTCCTCTGCCATGCCAGAGCCTGACAGACACTATCCGCTCATTGCACCATGCTGACGCAGGTTGGTCAGTAACATCCTAGCTGTCCTGGTCCTGCGCCAGCACCATCCACACACCCAGAGTAGAGAAAAGCAGAACATCTGCTCATACTCACAGTTTTGAAGTCCTCATGGTTGCACTCTTGGCCTTTGAATTTGCAGTACAGCATCATATCCTTCAGATCATGGCCAACCCGTGCCAGGAACTCCTGCATGTTGAAAACTTTTGGTTTATACTGCTTAAAGTTGGCCTTTTCTTGAAGGATGGCCAAGACGGCCGGGTCAGCCAGGTGAGGGTTGGGGATCTGCAGGTTTACATCGAGCAGGGCCAGAAGCTCTCCAGCATGGTACAGGTCATTGGTGGTGAGCCGGGAAAAGCGAAACTCATTGAGGTTACAGATGGTGACAGCGGGGAAGACCAGGCTGTTAGTCATTACCTCATCCACTTTGGTCACATGCTGGTAGGAGAAGTAGAAAGCCACTCGATCTGAGCTCTCAAGCAGGAGGAGCCCCAGTGAGCCCACAAAGGCCAAGGTCCAGAGCAGGCGTCGGATGGTCACTGGCCCGTAGACAAAGACATGACGGATCCCATGGAGCGTGGAGCTGTTGGCAAAAATCTGGATACTGGAAGGCTGCATGCTCCCCATGCTGCCCTCGCTGGTGCTGTCCTTCAGATCCATGAGCTAGTGAAATCCTGGCACTGCTTTTTGGATCAGTCTGTAGCTGGAACTGGGATCCGTATCCCTCCTCTCCCCTCTGGAAAGTAATCAAACCCTTTTAGGGGAGAGAGAGAGAGGAGACAAGTCTCAGGCCAGCTGCTGTGAGTTTATCCCACCAGCTCAGCAGTACCTTTGTAGGGGTAAATATTTATACGAAAATCCATTCAAACTCTATCTCTTGATTTCCTCGGTGCGATAAGAAGGGCTGGTTTTATTTAGGGAGACACCAAGGTGATGTGGAAGAGATGTGGGTGGGAAGTGAAAGCCGAGCCAATAGAAATAAAGTCCTCCCTCCCCCCCCTCCCCCCACACACACATGCACGCACGCATGCACACGCACACACACCCGAGCAGAGATGAGATTAAGCAAGAGGGAGAGCTTAAAAGAAGCAGAGGCAGCTCAAAGCCTGTTAACTAGTGCGTAAAGCCCAAGGATGTCTCTACCCGGAGCTAATGGCTTGCAGCGCGGCAGGGCTTTCAGACTAATCGCACCATTCTTCCCGTGCTCTGACAATGCTGCTGGATTTGAGCATCTTTTTTCCTCCCCACCCTTCTGGCTTGGGCAGGGCTCCAAGAAATACGCCTCCTCCCCAGAAAGCCACCCTGTGCTGCTGCCAGTGTTATTTCCAAGTGTTTCTCTCAGGGAAAGCTGGGCAGCTAATTCAGTGGGAGAATGCAAGAGGAGTAAGAGAGGAAAAAGAGAGGGAGGGGAAAGGTTAAAAAAAAAAAGAAAAAAGAGGGAGGGGGGAGGGGAGGCAAAGCTGCTCGTTTCCATGCTCTCACATCCACATGCAGAGCAGAGAAGGGTGGATAGCATGAAGCCTCTCCTCTGCTGTGCAGCAGCTCAGAGAAAAAGAAAAATAAATCAGAAGAGGATGGAAAGGGGAGATTTGGAAGGGCAGAGGTTCCCTGCACTTCAGGACTCCTGGCAGGCGAAGCGTGAGAGCTGTGAGTCATGCATCAATCGGAGCCCTGCATCAATCGGAGCCCCGCGGCAGGGTGAGATCCCGGAGAGGGCAGGGCTCAAGGGACTGCAATCGTACTCCCCCCGGCTCCTGCCCACTGGTGGGTTCATCAGTGTCCACATCTTGGTAGGACCAGGGCTGCTGTTCCAAGCAGCACCTGTGGACCCTGAGCTCAGGATTGGGAAGACAGTCAGACAGCAGCATCCAGATTTTTTTTTTTGTTTGTTTCTTGCCTCTGGAAGGCAGTTATGATGGATGCATTCAGGAAGCTGCTCCTAGATATGGGTTCAGATGTTAGGTCTGGAGGAACAGGGATGTTGAGGGGGGAGGGAGGGGGGGGCAAATTGGGAAAAGTTTCCTACCTAAGAGATACTGCAAAATCCTGCAACAATGCCTCCAGCCATGATAGCAGCCTTACTGCACACTGTAGGAGATAGGAATGAGCAGGGTTCAGCCCTGCAGCTGACCAGGGTCTGGGGTAGTTCCGTTCCACATTTGCTCTGTGCACAGCTGCATTTTTGCCTGTTTTTTTTTTTTTTTTCAGAGATCCAGAAGAGAAAAACTCTTTGTCTCTCCATACAGCATCCAGCAGTATGGCAGGTGAGCATCTCGGGGGCTGTGGTGGCACTCAGGAAGTGCCACCAGCTCAGATGAGGTGGGAACAGAGGGTGAAAGCACAGACAGAACCTGCCACAGTCTGTGGTGTGACACCCAGTGGCTCTCAGCCACCTGTGAAGATATCTCAAGGGCAGACTCAAAGATTATCCAGGGTAAAATGAGCCCAGTTTTGGTCCTGTTATCATCAGAGTGGACTCTGAAAGAGCCCCACATTTTACAACATTTGGCCCATCAGCTGCTTTACCTCCACCGGTGGACACCCGAGTCCCTTCAGGGACATCAGCCAACATTACCATGAGCTGCCCTGTCCTCCCTTGATGCTTTTCACCTTGAGATAACACCAAAATGAGGCAGTTTCTGCTTTTGCTACAACCAAAACCACATCTGGCCCTGGCAGCCAAATCCCAGCTGTCACCTCCCAGCCTAAAGCATCCTGTTGGAGCATCTCTCAGGCTGAGTTACACAACTTGACACATGCAGTGCAATGTTGGTCTGTCCATTTTACACCAGGGAAACTGAGGCAAAGAGATGCCAAAGGACTTGTGAACAGTCACCCAGAAAGCCCTTTCTGTGGCTATGAGCTGAATGTACTGCTAGGTCTTTCAGAGCATCATAATGGTTCTCTGAAACCTTGTCCTGTATCTTGTCCTGTACTGTCCAGGAGGGGTGGAGAAGACACCCCTGAGCAGATCCAAGCAAGGTGTGAACCAGAAGTAAGACAGCTCAGGGCAGAGGGGCTGTAGCACCATAGCTGCCTCCCCTCCCTCTCACCATCTCTCCAGGGCAGAGACAAGATCATTTTCCCCCTAAAAATCCCCTGTCAGGAACAGGCTTCCTTCCCCCTGCATTGCCATCCCAGCTACAAATCTCTCTCTTCTCCTACCATCTGCGTTATTTGGCCTGATGTATTAATGCTTTCATTTATTTACCATGCACACTGCCTTTAAAATCCTGTTGTCTGTAATTCATACCGTATATCCATGTGCTACCTTTTATTATTTAACTGCACAGAGTTCTTTGGGTGCAGTCTGGAGGAACAACCACTGTGCCTAGAGGTGCTGCATGGTTGTAGCACAGACTCACGGCTCTTCTGCATCACTGGTGGGGCTGGGGCTGGACCACAGGGCCCTGGTGCCCTGCTGACAGTCTGGGTCTGGTTGTCCCCAGGGGCTGGCGTTGGCCAGGGTGTCCCTAGAGCTGAGGAAGGTAGCTCTGGTCGTGCCTGGGGCTGTGTTTTGTGGGGTGACACTGGTGAGGATGTGTGGCACAGGCTGCAAGTGATGGTTGGGGTGTTGGCACCTCTTGCCAACAATATCAGCAGCCTCTCTGCGTGCAATGTAAAGACAAAGCATCCTGGCCGGTCCCACAAAAATCTTCAGGATGTCAGACCCCAGCTAAAGATACCTGTGCTACCCTCCTTTGGGCAACTGGGGCAGGGTGCTACATCCGTTGAGGCTCACAGCCCAAGCTCAACCCCAGAATATTTCTTGAAAATCTTGCTGCTTCAAACGGGTTCTGAAAACAAGGGATAGGCAGAGCCAGAAGACAGGAGCCTTAGAAAAGCCCCTTTTTCACCCCTTACATAGCAGGGAGGTAGGGGTGCAGTGATGGAAGGGGATGGCAGGACTAGGGTGGCCGAGGGACACGGGGAGAAAAGACTGATCCTGTTTCATTGCACAGCCTGCGCCTGCCCTCTTGTGTCTCAAGCACATCCTGCAGTGCTCAGCGTGAGGGCTGCCACTGCTGAAACATGGGAAATGGGTTTATTGGGGAGGGAGAAGAGACTCCAGCAGCACCTGAGCCCTCCTAGAAGCATGTCCCAAGTGAATGGTTTACATTGGGAAAGCCAGGAGGGGTCTTGAACACAGATCGATAGCTTGTTTTTAAAATAAAAGGTGGTTCCTTGGTCCCCTGCATGGTTCAGCACACCCTGGGCAAGACCCCTCCTGGGTGCTAAAGCACCAGAGTTTGCTGTCAAAAATTGGTTTTATGGTTCCCTCTGGACTCGATGGGTAAAATACAAAAGAAAGAAAGAAAAGCAAAGAGCACTTCAGTCCAGCAAAGCAGTTCACCTTCCCTGGCCCAGCTGCAGATCCAGATATCCTGGTTGCACAGGAATGGTTGCATCGAGCAAGGGGAAAATGTCCCCATCAGTGTTTCAGCTTCATGGGAAGCTGCTTTCACCACATCTTCATTGGCTCAAGATGACTGTAGTCCTGTAAGTCTCACTTCATTTCTCAGCCTTTACCCCAACCGTTTTGGAGCCTCTTGTCACCTAACTGCTTGTTGCCAACAGCTTCAAGCTACTGGGGACCCATAGCTCCATTTAGCAGAGAGTATTTGGCTACTTGAATGAGTCTTCCTTTCCAAATGAGAACATAATGTGGAATTTTGATGTTTCCCCTGAAATTAAATCTGATACCTTCCAAGGTAGCTTTGGCTCAACTAAATAGCTTTTACTATGTATTAAAAAATCAAAAAATTGTTTGGGTTTCAATGTATTAAATATTAGGCTTCGATTTACAATAGGGTATAAAATGAAAGCCATTAAAAAGAATATAAACTCTCCTTGAAAGAAAACCAAAAGCATTTAAATGGCTGCATATGTCAAACACCTTCTAAAGGAAGGTGTTCAGAGACAACAAAATTCTTATTTATTTTTTTTTACCACTGCCCCAAAAAAGATGCTGATAAAAATATCATATTCACAGAGATGCTGTTGAATCAGTGTTTGCCAGTGGAAGAACTCCTTTGAGGGAAGATTTCTCCACCAGACATGTCTGGTATCCTCATGCAGATATGACCTTCTGGGATGTCTTCCTCCTCCTCCTGCAGAAATGCTAAAGCACCTGCACCTAACAGCTCATCACTGTTAATGCTATCAGCCTCCAGACCTCACTGGTGACAGGGGAAGAGGCTTCCCCTGTGCACAGAGCTGGGCTTCCTCCAAGCCCAAACCAGCCCAGAGTTTGCAAACCAACTGAATTACATCTGCAGATTTTATTACAGAAATGGAATATTGGATTTGAAGCAGTGTTTTTCAGCAGTCAGAGCCTGTCCCACTTGCCCTGACATTCCAAGCACCTCTGCAATAACTTGGATTTATTAGCTCTCTCCGGGGCCATATTTATCTACTGGGCCTCCAGCTCCATCCTCACATGCCATTGCCATGCTGAGGGATGCTGAGCAAGCCAAGATGTTTTTACATTACAAAATGAAGGCAATGCTGCTTCTAGCCTGTGTCTTGTGCTTGGATTTTTGGGAATGAAAAATGCAATGTATGAAAATTTTCCTCTGGCATCTCCCCTTTTAAATGACCCCTGGAATCAAATACTCATTCCCTGTTAAGCTTTACATGATTTTGTTTTGACTTGTAGGTGTTGGTTCTGCCTGTTCCTTGAAAAGCCTATGAAAGCACCTTGAATTACTCAGAAATAATTCAAGTTTAGGGGCCATTCCAGGTGCTTCTGTCTGGATAACACCAGGCATTTAACTTTTTGGCACGTGAAATACGCAAGGAAAACTCACTGAAATATATAATATAGTTATAATATAATTATAATAAATATAAATCTGTAAATATCTTCATCACCTTTTTTCTATTTTTAAATTCTCCTTCAGTGCTGGCATGGCTCCCAACTCAAACTCTCCAAAGAAGGCAATTTTCACAGGACTACGATTCAGAATAATTAAGACAAAGAATCCCACAAACTAAGAACCCAGCTTTTTATTACTATGGCAACGTTGTTTGTCTTTCCTCAAGTGACTGAACTGAGAAAATAAAAAAGAAAAAGAAAATCAATTTAAAAAGCAATTGTTTTTCCTGTTGCCAAAGGAGCAAAGCTGGGATGTGAGTTGGGGGTCCCAGCTCCCAGCAGACACCACAGAGGCCCTAGTAAGTATCTGCTTTAGGATGAGCTGATTTGTTCCCTGGGTCTGGTTGGGTCAAAAAAATCTCCAGGGTATTCAAAGGGAGTGGAGAGAGCAATGCACTAGGAGACCCCCACGGAGGGTCCTGAAGGGGGATATCCCCCATCAGGATATCAGCACATCCCCCATGCTGATGTAACATTTGCTTTGGGAAGTGCTTTGTACAGGAAACTCAAAACATCCGAGCAATTTACTCTAGTGACGTGTTCTTGTCAGAGGAAAAGAGAAGCTGATGTTGATACAAAAGCTTCAATCACTTGAGCAGAGAGAGAGGGACTTGGCTCTGCTCCCGGCATGTCACAGTCATGAGCAGCTTTCAGATCCAGCTTCAAGCTCCTGCTGAGCGGCACAAGGACATGTCAAGATTTCCCAGCCCTAACTGACTTTGTTCAGCCAGCAGGTAGAAAACTTTTGCTTGTATCAAGAGCAAATCCCAGCTTGAATCATTAGAGTGAATTAATAAGGCTGCTCAGGGCTGTTATAATGGAGGTGTGATTCTCACTGCTGCTCTCCCACCCACTTCCTCTCACTGGTGCTGGTGGCCCTGGGATGTGACACTGGCAATGCCAGCAGCATGGTGGTGGTGCTTGGTCCCAACCAATGCAGAGCCAGGAGCTGTGCCATGATTATGGCACGAATTGCGCTCAGCCTCTGCCTTTCCAGAAGCTTCTGGAGCTTGGGTTAGGTCTCTGGTGATGCACTGGAGGACAATATGAATGCAAGACAATGTCAGTCTTGGGAGGTTTACTTTAAGCCTGTTTCAACTTCATTTGGCAAAAATTGTTCCATTTCCTTAAGTCAGTGGTGGTCCTCATTATGGGGTTCTGGAGGGCAGCTGGACTTAAAAAAGACTCCCCAAACCTCTATGTATTGTGGGGACCAATTTATATGTCTAGCTGAGTCCCCGACACCATTAAACATCTTGTTATGGAATGAGAGATGGATAAGGAAAGGGAGAAGAAGTCTACTCACAGTGTCTGCTTCCCAGGTCTTATGCTACTGCCTGCACATATATCAATTTGTTTTTGCTTCCAGGTGTGCTGAAGGGGCCTAATCCCTTCCCTTCCTTGGGGGTGTTGGATGACTTAGTTGATGTTTATTCAATGGTCTGTGAAGTAGCTGTGGACAGGGACTGTACCAGATTATGGTATTTACTCTTCAGCAAGATTATTTCCATGCCAGAGAGGAGCTGTTCCTGAACTGAAAATACAAGTGTCACCCTAAATCTTTGTCATTTCTGAAAGGGAGGAATAGATTAAATTTCTGTATTCCTTTTGGATATAGTTTAAGTCAGAGCAAAGTGATACAACAATAACTGCATAGAGCAGAGTTTTCCCTTTGCAGAACTGAGCTGTACAGGCTTTACTGCTCAGTGGAGCTGCCCAGACTCCCTTCATGTTGCCCAGTATGTGACAGGAGAGGGCCTTACCATATGCCTTTTGCTCTTGTGGAGCGACGTCATGCCAGGCAACTTTCCAGTGTACTCATTTCTGTACAGTTCTTGCAAAAATCCTTGTACCTGTGATACCTCTTGGGGTGCCACAAGTCCCAATACCTGGTTCTACCATACCACGAGGCAAGCTGATCTTAGTGTAGAGCACTTTAAATTAGCTTGAGCTTTCATAAAATGGGGCTGTAATCCAGCTCACCAAGAGAGGCATGTTGGCTCAGTAATTATCATAGGTATTCATCCAAGGTTGGTAGAGAGACACATGTAGATTGCATGAGGCTTTGTGTGGGCTGGGGAGGACATGGGAGAAGCCCATGGTACAAAGACCTGCTGATGGTTACACAGAAACCATCCCAGGAATCTTCTAAGTGGAAATGTTGTAGGTGTCTGGGGAGTAGAGGAAAATTATATACACTTGCCCTGTTCATCACCTGTAGGCATCATCATATGGCAGCACAGGAGAGGGCTGGATCCTTGATGAGCACATTGAGATCATTCATATTCTGGCCTCCAGGAGCTGAGTGAGGAGGTGCTCAAACATTTGCTGTGCTTGTCTTTCTCCATTAGTAGGAGAAGCAGGAAGACAGGGAGTTTCACTGAGGTCCTACGTAACCTTAAGAGAGAAGAAAGGCTCAGAAAAACTGAAGCAGAGATTTGCCTATTTTCAATGTGGAAAAATGCAGACTGGGCTCAATAGATTTTTTGCAAGATTTTCATGTCAAATACTGTGTCCAAATTTACAACACCAAATGAAAACATCACAAATTAAAACCAAAAGGAGAAGGACCTAAGACCTAAATTGAAATGATCTGTTCCATCTGCAGTTGACTTTTCCTGCTTGATATTTCAGACATCCCAAAGAAATGAAAAACAACTCCCTCTGGCGTCAGTTATTAATAAATCTACTTGTGCAGTCTGGGCTTCCTGACCCAGCAGTAAAAGGTTTTGCAAGTTTACACCGACCTGACCAGACAGCATCACTTACTTTCTCCTTGATGTCCATTGCTGGCATTCCATGATAACTTCATGCCATGGTGATTGGTCCCCTCTGTCTACCCTCTGGCTCCAGCCCTGCTGTCTTTGCTGGTCTCCTCTCTATAGGAGGAACAGAAAGCTCACTCCAGAAGATGGAGGAGCAATTGCTTTTCCCTGGTTAATGGCATCAGGAAAACAAACAAACAAACAAACAAAGCAAAACAAGGAAACAAACAATATTTGAAGTATCTTTAAATTAAACAGAAGCATTTCACTTTTGTTGAATGTAACTTTCTGTGAAACTCAACATGACCGCTATTTTTTAGGGAAGGTTAATAGTTTTAATCATAAATTCTAATAAAATAATAGCTTTGCCTCATGTTTGGGGACAAAAATTATACATTCAAAACAAAACCACAGCAAAGCAATGATTCCTAAACCCAGATCAGAAAGAGATAGACATTTTAATATTTCCCTTTAATTACTTTCCAGTGCACATTCAGGAGGAGGAGATGTGACTATTTTCATTTACAGGCAAATGGTTAAAGTCAGTTAATTCATTCACTGCCATAGACCTGATGCATCTCAATCCTTTTGTATTCACTGCCCTCTCGTGCCTGTTCTTCCCAAGTTTTGAGAATAGATGGCTTAATAGATGGCTTCTAATTAAATCTGGCAGCAGCTAATGAATTTTTGTTGAAGCTGTAGAAAGACAATGCATTTTTCATGAAATCAACTCTGCCTGGAATAATGTCATTTTATTTCCACTGCTTGAAACTTCTGCTCAACTGTGAGCAGCCATCAGGGATGGAGGGCTGCCCCAGACACTGACAGTGCAAACAGGTGGCAATTTGGCAGTGCCCTGCTCCACAGTCTGGTCCACAAAGAAAAGGCAAGTTCTCCAGCTTAGCCTGTAACCCCTGCAGGTATTAGCTCCAAAAGTCCTTAGTAAAAGTCATGGTGTGTTGGGTCTGTCTGGGATGGAGTCACCTTTCCCTGCAGCAGCCCACACAGTGCTCTGCTCTGTACTATGCAGCAATAGACACAATAAACACAAACTCCACAACACTGGAGTGATATCAGAACACTGGAGTGAAACCACCACACATGGCATGGTCCACTCCAACACTGAGACCTTTGTCAGGAAAGACATCTTCCAGTATCCCTTCCTGCATCTTCCAGTATCCCTTCCTGCAGCTTATCCAGCAATGAGGCTTGGGGAGCAAAGGCCTTCTATACCACCATGCCTGCACTGTTATCTGTTACATGGCAATTACTATGAAAAATGAGCCAGATCATAGAAAAATCAAGAATATCTAAGATTAAATTTGTAAAGTACCTAGCACTGAAGAAGGGCCTGTCCTGGTGGAATGGTTTGACTCAATGTATTTGGTGCTCTTGAGAAAGGTCCTTGAGAAATGTCCACACCCTTTACTTGTTTGGTTTGTGGTTCACCCACAAACCTCTTGCAAGGTGATGATTTTCCCTTTTCCTTACCCTTGCCCACTACTATCCTGCTTGCCTGTGTCATGCTCCAGAAGACGAAATCACTTCCATTTAGAGCAGCCAGTACCACTTTGCAAATTCTCTTTCAGAAAAAGTGAATCCAGCAGTGAGTGTCCCATCACCCTCACTATAGGAATAGCTATATATATCACTATATTAATCTGTAGGAATCATGCCCAGTTTGGGAGCTGTTGGCAATGGTTAAGAAGGATAAATAGTTTTGTGAAGTGGCAACTTTATTAAGCACCAAGTATTCCACCAGCTCCAGTGACTGAGTGCAATTGCAGAACAAAATCGTAGGAGAAAACATGAAGTTCCAGTGCACTGCACTAGATGGTAGTGCCTGCAAAGAAAAAAATCTCAGAGGAGCTTTCTGTGATGCTTCAGCACTGGGCAGCACATCTATGCACTTCCAGGTCACTGCTCCAAACTTAGGGTGAGGTATGCAAGACAGGCACAGTCCCACAGTGGAAGGGGACAGGATTTGGCCTTTTCTGTTCCTGTACTGCTACAGACAAATTTGCTAACATTCAGAAAGCAAATAGCACTGTGCATCTAGGGAGAAGGCAAAAGAAACCTTCTAACAAAACATCTTCCCCACTGCAAAGCAATGAACAACCAAGAAATGTGTGTTCCTAGCTGAAAGCATGCACTTTTCAACAGTACACCCCCATGTTCTTCATGCAGCATCACAGTAGCATTAGCTTTGCTGCGTGTATGGGGAAGGAGGGTGTGGCAGAGGTGGGTGGGCACCTTCCCCAAATCACCTCCATGACAATGACAGGATGATCTGCGTACCCCTGTCCAGCAGCCACATCCACAGCCATGGCCTTCTGCACAGTGAGAGACCCCTGAGGAGCACCTATAGCTGTTGGAGAAGTTTTCCATGTTGTGCAGTAACTCTAGAGAGCCCCCAGTCAGGAGGCAAGACCCCACTTTGTGCAGCCAAGCAGAGAACTGGAGCACTATCTCCATTTGTGAAGAGCACATTTCTCAGTCGTTCATGATCTGGCCCTTTTCCTGCAGGACCCCAGTGGAGGCTGGATGTAACACCTGGCCATATGATGTGGCTATATTGCTGCTGCCTGCAGCATGCTTTTTTCATTTCTGTAGGACAGCAAGATCAGGCCTTGATTTGAACAGCCTCTCCCAGCACCTTGCATTTTGCCAAGGTGCTTGCTCCCAGCAGACTTGGCAGCATGAAGTGCAGAGCTTGGACAAGGCAGGAAGAGGGAGTGTTGCTTGGCTACATGCCTAGGTCTGCTTTGGGTCCCCACAGCAGAAATTCAGTATTTTCCAGGTGGAGGAATGGGGGCATAAGCTCCATCCACTCAATACCACCAGTCCTGGGCAACTCACGTCCTGTCACTGGGTCTGTCCTGAGCCAAAGGTGCTGGGAGAGGGCAAGGGGCTGTTGCCCAGGTCAAGGCTGTGCTGTTGAGGTCTGAAGTCCTTCACATGTGTGCTGTCCAGATGAGTTCCTTCTCCCAGCCTTGCTAGCTGTGTTGCTGGATGGCAGTAGCTTGAGGTTTGTTTCTCTTCCTTGACTTTTTATGGTTGTAAAGAGCTGTGTTTTATAGACCTCAAGAAGAGGGTGTATACCAAAACTCTTCTATTTTCTGACTCTATCTGTCAGTCCAATAAAAGATATCACCTCTCTCACTGTACTCCACCTTTGACACAACATTTATGGTCCCACCATGAAAGACTTCTTACCCTATAGCATCAGGCACAAGCACTGCCCCTGTGACTGCTCCGCACAGATGCAATTCTCAGAGACACAAAGGCAATCTTACACAATGCCTGCCTGGAAGCTAATATAATTTTGCACCCTCTTCAGTGCTCCCTAGCCTGACATGTAACATAAAGCTATCTTGTTGTCAACAGGAATCAGGGTTAGACATTAACTAAACCCCTGATCAGGAATTCTGGGACTAGGGATTTGTTGAGCCACAGGAAATGAAACAGCTGCCTGTGAGCAGAGGGACTGGAAAACCAGGAGAGATGCTGGGATGGCTTGAACTCTCGTGGAACTGCGACTTTTAGCAGAATCATTAATTTACAATTATTTTGTAAATATTATATTGTAAATAATATATTGTAAATTAATTTGCAACATTAATTTACAAAGGACTGTATTGACTTTTCTTTCTCTCTTTTTTCTCTCTTTTTTTTTTTTCTTTCCTGCTTCAGTTGTAGGCAAACTTTAACATTCTTTGCAAAGAACCTGCATAAATTTGCACAAATTTAAGGGCTACTGAACAATATATTCTCTCATCATTATTTTTTAATATTTTAAACTTTCATTTTATGTGAATTCTTGAATTGAAAGTAATTCTGAACCAAAATGGAAATTATTATTTCAATAATATCAAAGCAAAAAGTAGTTTCAAACCTCTTTTCCCCAGAGTTATTTATAAATAGGTAATTCAAAACTGACCTTTTCCCACAAGTAGCTTTAAATCCAGAGCTGGCGCTTGGGGAAGAGACTTTCATCAAAATTCCCAGCCAGCTGTTACTCCAGAGCTGGAAGAAACATTACATCCTTTCTCCAGCTTCTCACTCAGTCCTGCTATAAGCAATTGCAGAGCACTGCATGCCTCATTTATTGCATTAACCCAACAGCATTTCCAATGTGTTGTGGTCCAGCATGAGGTCCCACAGCATTATGTTAAACATCAGGTGAGTGAACTAGGGCTGAGACCTTGATAAGCAAAAGTATAGGACAAGCCAAGACATGAATCCTGTATTTCATTTCTGCACATGTCAATCTCTGATGCTTTTTTCTCATTTTTTAGTAGCAAGGCTGCAATTTCAACAGCAACAGATGCAGGTATTTATTACCAGAAGAACAAAAACTGAGTAGCAGAGAGTATATTAACAGCTGCCTGCTTACAGAGTCCTATCTATCAGAGACCCTAAATTCACAGGTTTCTTCCAAATATATGCATTTACTTGGATATATAGAGAGTCATAAATAGGGTTAGGGTTAGTGTTAGTTTTGGGAGAATTTGGTGATGTAGGTGTTGGGTTAGAGTCATTATTAGGCTTAGGGTTAGGGTTATTAGGGTTCGGAGAGAGAGACAATGCAGAGTCCTGTTGTGTATGGGGGGTTGTGTAAAGACTGCCCAAGGAAGTTCAGGTCTACCAAAAGTCTTTCATTGTGAGCATTTTTTGATGGGACACTTTGGTGACATAGGTGTTGGGTTAGGGTCATAATTAGGGAGTCTGCAGTTGGCAGTATAAAAGTCTTAGACCATTACGATGAGGATAAAGATCTCAGTGCAGCTATAGAATTGTACTCAACATCTGTGCTGTGCAACCCACAAATGGGATGGTTTTTATTTTCAATGAGCAATCATTTTGGGAGCTATGACAGAAGTGTAACAAATATCTACAAAGTGCAGGTAGGAAAGGAAGAAATACGTGTGCAATTTCAGATGTTGACTGCTCACTACACCAACAACAATGAGCAGATTTCCTGGCATGATAATCATACAGGAGAAAAGAAACCATAACAAAACATATTTTCTAAATTACTTGATTTTCTGAGAGTATGAGAAGAATGAATTCCTTCATGCTACTTGCATTCTCCATGTTAATCGGTTGGCAATATACAATATACAGCCTATATACCTAGAAAGACAAGAACATCTTAACTTCTTTTTATTATTAATTATGAATTCTGTATCAGAAGTATATACAAATTAAGAAATATATAGAATTAGTATTCAGCTTATAAAATGATTAATTTCCATATTACTTTAGTAGATACTTAATTCTGCATGCATAAGAATTCAGACATATCTGTGACTTCAATATTTTCAAGAACTGACTCTATGGCTGGTGAAAGGGAAGTTCAGATTCTTACTGTTATAGGGTTCGTTTTGTGTGTGAATGGATCCTTCCTATTCATGGGAATGCTTTGATGACTAAACCCAACACATCAGAAAACTATTCTGCTCTGATACAAGGATCTTGTTGGAGGAATATA